CCCCGGGGCTCCGGGGGATTGTTCAGGGCCACTTGGGAGGGGGTTTGGGGCACCCTGGTCTAGTGGAAGGTGCCCCTGCCAATGGCAGGGGGGTTGGAACTAGATGATCTTTAAGGTCCCTTCCAACCCAAGCCATTCTATGATTAAATATGTTTGGCCAGAAGTCCAGACCAATGAATAATTTCCATGAGTCACTGGTCTAGCACTCTGGTGATGTGACTGGACGACATACAGGAGAAACCACGATTAGAGCGAGACTCTGCCTTGTTAAAGCTATTGGGAAATTTTGGCAGTGTATTTCCCCACGAATGAAATAAAATCCTTCATCTGTTACTCCTCCACCTTTCCTCAAAAAAAAAAAAAAAAAAAAGGTACCACCCCCCCCAAAAAAGCCCCAATGAGTTTGCTGTGTGTCTAAGTACATGTCTTTCATCACAGCCACTTTTACACCTTAATTCTGCATCCCATTCTTGAATTCTGTCATAAAGTTTCTCCAATCTAGATGTTTCTTGTGACCAACCGAAACTCAGTCAACTAAAGTGATCCAAAGCTTTTCCCTTTGTAAGCTTCATAAGTAGTGTGCCACTTCCCATTGTCATAAATCAGTTGGCAACCTTCAGCACGCTAGGCTATACCCTTCCTGAAATTTTAATTTTCCTCAGCTTCCATGACCTTCTCTTCTCTTGTATTCCTCTCAATCCTTCTATAAAGCTCTTTGCTGTTGTCATAGAAGTTGATAATAGCTAGTTTGCTAATTTAATGATACATCTGCTTCTGCTTGTCTTTTTTTATGCACCATTTCTTTTCTTTTACTTAGATAATGCCACCATTGGGCCAGGAAGAAACAAAATTACCTCTTCTTGTTCTCTCTTTCTGTAGCACTTAACAGAGCAACATTTTGGCCTGTGGTTAGAGCTCCTCTGGGATAGCAGCAAAAGTTGTTTTGCTGTTTTGTTTTTTGCTGTTTTGCTGTAAAGTGTGTGGAAACCAGAATTGAGGCCTAGGAGGTTTTATGCACTTACGCTAAAAGGTTCAGCGTAGCACAATCTGCTACAGAGCTGCAAAAGATATTGCAGGAATCTTGGTTACTTAAATTCCTCTGTTGGTCTTGTGGAAAAAAAGATTGCTTTTTCTAGCAAAACTTGACTTCTTTCTAAATCAGGCGATAAACTCCCTTGTCGTTTTTTAAATATTTGTTTCTTGGTCAGTGCTCCCTTGGATAAAGCCATTGATAGAGGATAAATCTTCATGTTGTGTCTAAGTCATCTCTTCACTCACAAAAACAAAATAAGTAATTCTGTGACCAGCAAGACTTTTGAAGTGGACTTGCTGTGAGTGAATTTTCCTAACTAAAGTTTAAAGATGCCGTACAGCAAGATGCCTCTTACAAGGCTGTCGGTTGCTAAAAGCTTTGACGTCAAATCTGTCTGAAATTGCTCCAGAAATACTGGATGACTTAAAAACATTGAAATGGAGGGAAGTATAAGGATCATAATATAAATATTATGATCTTAGGAGCCTTGTTTTCTTAGGAAAAATAGATTAAAAATCCTCTAACCCTAAACTATTTTTATTTCCTGCAGTCTGTAAAAATATCTTTTCTCGGCTTTGCATAGATACAGTGTCTTGAGCTTGCGGAGATGTGTTATCACACATCATGCTGGTGTGGTCTGCCTGACCTTTGTTTCTTTGTTTATGCCTGCATTCACGGAGTCTAGTAATAAATACCGAGGTCAACAAAGCTTCAAATCAAATGAAAACTGTTATTCTTTTAGTAATTATCGTAACTATTATCACAACATGAAGACTGAAGGAGAGGAAGGTAAAGTGACTTCTGATGGAGGAAATGTCAAATGACTTGAGGCTGCCAATAAGTAACTGTTTCATTTTCTACCATAATGGAAAATTCAAGGTAGAAATAAATGTTAAATCACATTGAAGATAAAAGTTATATTGTATTTGCATGATTTGCAGAAAGCAAAACAAACTGACCACATCGAGTGGTCAGTTTACATTTTAGTGGTTACTAGACATCAAAATAATCTTTCTTTCAGGAAATATCTGCAACGTATACCTCATTCAAAATTAAATTAAAATCACATTTTAAATATCTTTATTTTAATTATCCTAACTCCTAACATTTTTCTAATTTTCATTAAATGTTAATAGGCCATATTTACGAATATAGGACTGCAGTTTTTTTTTTAAATTAGACTAATGTGAACTATTTTGGACTAGTTGGTCTGAATTTTATTACTATCTCCTTTCCTTGATATTGTAGTATTTTATGAAAAAAATGTCCAGTTTTATTATGTATATAGTAGCTTTTTATGTTTAACATAATTTGTATGCTTGCTTCAGAGAAAATTCAGTTACTATGATTTTAAATTAGCATGCTTTTGAATTGTACATATCAATATTAGTTTGTCATCTTTTTATGGGAACTGAGGGCACAGACTGTCAACACAAAAAGCCTTTGCCACCCAGAATATTGCTTTGAGCTTACCACCTCTGATAGCATTTTGAAAGTTAGGGGGGGGCTTCTTTATTTTTTCCTGTGTTCCTTGCCATTAGCATAGAGTGGGAGGAACAACAGTGGTCCTGCAGTGCATCATGTAAGTTCCATTTGTCCATCCATACTCTGCACCTTGCAGAAATACATTTCTCTGGGGATCTACTGCTTTCAAGGCCACTGAAAGTCTAGGGCTACACACAGTATCTGCCTGAAGACTTTGACTCCCTGGGCTTTAAAAAGGCAAAAGCTAGGCCCTCAACAATTCACTTAAAGTCCACATTGCTGTCTCTTTCTTTCACTGGAAAGTACACTGGTTTGTGAACCTTCCTCACCCATCAACTTTCCCTTTTTACCTTCTAATTTCTTTCAACTTAGGCAGTTGCATGTTGAAGGAGACTGGCATTTCTACAAATACTTGCTTTGGAAAGATACTGGGTGATCTGAATATTTAAACCAGTATCTTCTGTCTTCTGTAGAGTTAAAATATTTCAAACCTTGAATATATACTTTTTACTTTTTTGCAGATCCAGTCTTGCTTATGGAATTGTTGAAGATCTGAGATCAATGAAAAAACATTTTTGCATGCAAAAAAGGATCATTTTGGTTTATCTGTTTTAAAATCATCAAGTGTGGCACTTGATGACTCATCTCCAAGATTTCTTCGCTGATGTCTGAAGAACAAAGTGCTTTTCAACCTGTACTTCTGTAGCACTATGACTAACTGTAAAGGCAGATCTATCGTCTCCAAAACAAATAGCAAAGTTCATGACAGAGGTTTTGTAAACTGGACCATAAATCTTAATACAGTTCAGTCCGATAAATTTTTAAGACTGCTTTTGAGTATGGTTCCTGTTGTTTACCAAATAAACCAGGATGAAAGACACAAAAAAGTGAATGGTGTCTGGCAAGATGGATTACAACCAGCAGGACACAGTTTTAATGTTAGGTCTGAACAACACACAGAGTACCATCACTTCTCAGAACCAAGTTTTCATGGTAGTAATGGACACAGCCCGTCTAGCTGTAGCCCTAAATATGATAATTTTACCAGTTATAATTACTGTGATGAAATGGACACTTCAGAAACAGATGCCATGTTGCAGGAAGACAACCTATCTAGTGATGGTAATGAAGATATCATTGTGGAAGGAAGTAGAAAACAACCCAAAGAATCTAGTAGTATTATGGCATTACAGATACTCGTACCTTTTTTGCTAGCGGGCTTTGGAACTGTTTCTGCTGGCATGGTTTTGGATATTGTACAGGTTGGTATTTGCTTTGAAAGATGTTTTTTTAACAGGTAGTCTGTGGGGTTTATAATTCTAACACATGATATTGTAGGTATTTACAATATTGAGGGGTAATTAGTAATATGGTTGTGCTACTATGAACTCCTTTTCCCCAAACCTCATCTTAAAGAGTTCCAATGTTTAATTTAGAGTCATTCAAGTTTTGGTAAGTGTTGTTGCTTAGCCACAGTGAGCTAGTGAATAAAACTGTTACCTACTGCTTTAACTAAGGATAGAAATACAGTAATGGTTCAAAATTCTGTTGACACCAATAAATGCACACATTGTCAAGTGGGAGTTGTAATTAAACATGATGTTGCAATACATAGGAGTTTAACAAGATTAGAAGAATTTATTACATTATCTAATCTCCTTGCATGCTTTAAGTCTATGCAATTTCTGAAATACTGTGCAGACTTGGTCCATGATAAGGCATATGTGATATGAAAATGTGCATTACATTCATATGTTATATGAAATTCATATGAAGTGATTTAGAGCTTTTTTGAATATTCAGGTGTGACTTCTTTATATAACATTAGGTATATTGAACACTCAGAATTACAAACATCAGTGATGTCAACAGGGCTGCAAAGTCCAACTTGAGATATTATTGTAGTAGGTCCAGAGAAGCTAGATTGTCTTGGTTTGTGATAGCAGATTTAACTGATGATAGTTATTCAGGATTAAGATATAAATAAAGTTCTAATAAAATAGAACTTTCTCTGAATTTTAAGACTTAAATTTAATAATATTTTTAAAACCTTCTTTGGAGTATTATATCACTAAGATTCTACTGATACGGAACATTTTTAGGACTGGTTTCTAGCTTAACACAGTTGTAGATGTCAGCAGCATTTCAGTGGAGTAAAAAGTAACTGTTGCCTATGAAATCTGATTGTGGCTTACCAGTACCTGAAGGGGCCTACAGGAAAGATGGTGAGAAACTGTTTATCAGGGAATGTAGTGACAGGACAAGGGGTAATGGGTTTAAGCTGAAGGAGGGTTGATTTAGATTAGATGTTAGAAAGAAATTCTTTACTGTGAGGGTGGTTAGGTTCTGGAACAGGTTGCCCAGAGAGGTTGTGGAGGCCCCCTCCCTGGAAGTGTTCAAGGCCAGGTTGGATGGAGCTTTGGGCAACCTGCTCTAGTGGAGGGTGTCCCCGCTCATGGCAGGGGGGTTGGAACTAGATGATCTTTAAGGTCCCTTCCAACTCAAACCATTCTATGATTCTATGAAATAATTCTTTGTGCAGTGATATTTGAAGAAAATTGTGGAGAAAGTAACACTCAGGAAAGGTTTATTGGACTCGCTTATTTTCTTGATGTCTCTTTGCATTTTGAAGGCTATATTTACTTGTATTTCCTACCTCATTTCTATTTTTTAAAAACCAGACATTTCTTATAAATAAGGATTCTCTCTTTCTGAATGAGTAGATTCACAAAAAAATACTCAAAAATATGAAATAACCACAATATTCAAACTGAAAGATAGTAGAGAAATTAATCTTTTTTTTTTTCCTTTTCTTTTGTTTCATTCAGCTTTTAAGGTTTTCTTTAGCTCCACTTAAGGGTTTAGAAAGTTAATTTAAAGAGGAATGAGAAGTGACAATCTTTGTCACTCAAAATCTTGCAAGAGTAAAGGAAGCTTGGGCTTCAATCAATTTCAATGAAAAGACACTTCTATACATCAAGAAAAAGGAAAATAAAAATTGACATGCAAACTTTACTGATTCCTTGCACCATTTTACACCAATCCTGTACTTTGCTCATTTACATTTTACTAATTTATTCTTTGTACAGATGCTTGGTTTGTACTCTGTTAATATATGCTTTACTTCATGATACAGCATAATGTAATATGCCTACTGCCACTACTGGTTTCCAAGGAAATGCTTTACCTTGCCTTCCTTCCCTTAAGGGAATGGAAGTGTTTGTATAGCTGGTTTTTGAGCTGGACTGAGATACATCTTGATTTTTCCTTCTATATTACTTTTAATCTTGATTGGTTTCCCACTCCAGCTCACCATAAATGAGAGAGATGTGACGACACAAAGGCAAAAATAAGTACCTAGAGTTAGTACTACCCTTTTTCACCTTAAACTAAGCATTAAACTGTGATGCAGTAAAGCAGGATTTTGAAATGTGGCAGAGCATGAAAGTACGAAGACAACAAAGCCTTCCAAGCTTGTTTTTTACAAACCATTTTGTGGCTATTCTTTCTCAGTAGTAATTACCTATGTAACTTGACATATAGGAAATTCTCAGATCTTGTAAACAAGACTTGAATCCTTTTGTTTTAATTAAAATAATAATGTAAATGATTGCAAATCCATGAATGCAAAGACAATTTACAGTTTTGTTACTTTAGTTAAAGCTGGTAAATGATTACAAATTAAATACATGGATTGACAGACATACAAAGCAGCACAGGATCTCTGTGCTGAGAACTCTGCACACAAAAAATTACGGGAGGGTTTGTCTTTGTTTGCTTTATAAAATCTGGGTTTTGGAAAACTACTCTTCTAAATTTCACACTTAGAAGTAAAAGAATGAAGAGAAACTTTTTTCACTTACAGGCTCTGTTCATTTGACAACTAATTCCTTGCTGGTTTTATGTGAGGTTTCTACACAGCTGGAAGGGAAAAGATGAAAATATTATTGTAAATTAAGATCAGGATTCGAGAGTGGTCATAGCACCTGGTACTGTTTTAAAGTCATGAAAAAAAAAGACTTCAAATTAATGACATCTTTTTTCAACTAGGTTTGTTTCATGGCCAAGTTTTGTATCTCTTACGTTTGGTATTCTCATCTTTGAAGTAGTAATATGCAGTCATAAATCTATTTTATCTAGATAGAAAACAGTTCTGGCTTTAGACTTTTAGGTCTAATATAAAAAGATTGATTTTCTTGTCTTTTTTTTTTTTTGGAGGCTTAAGTTATAAGTTATGGAATTTTAATATTTTGTGGATGATCTAAAGAGAATTTTTCAATTGAATGTTTCCCACTGTATCTTTTATCTAGCACTGGGATGTGTTCAAGAATGTTACTGAAGTTTTTATCTTGGTTCCTGCACTTCTTGGTCTCAAAGGAAATTTGGAAATGACCTTGGCATCTCGGCTGTCAACTGCTGTAAGTAACTTTCTCTTCCCCTTGACTCTTCAGATATATGTTGTAAATATTTCAAAAGGAAACAAATCTTTTGAACACAAGTGTTTTATGTCTATGGCTTAATCTGGCTGTAACAGGGAGTCTTTAAATCTGTTATTAAACTGGCAAAGTTAAAAAGGTGACCCTCTTCTGATCTCCATACATTAAAATTTTACTTCTTCAGTGTCTTCCAAGTCATCATTCAGAATAGATAAACCAGATCTTTGAGTTTTATATGTATATTCTGTAAGGTTGACAGATCCCTTTGGCCTCGATGGGGTTTGCATAGGCTAACAAAATGTGAAGGTTTTGAACACATTTTTCTAAAAAAACACTTGTGTGGCACCAAAATAAAGCATTGCTAACATTGCTACTCCAGACCTTTGTTGATCAAACTGTAAGAAATTCTTTTGTACCTTTCTGGCTGAATAATTTTATTCCTTTTTTGTTGAGGTGGGTTTTTGGGGGGTCTACTTATTTTTTTGTGTGTGTCAACACTGTAACAGCATAACAAAATTTTTTCTATGTCTTCTTTCTTACATATATGTGATAGTTCTTTTCTACATCTCAGGGGATGTTCTGTTCCTTCCTTTTTCTAGACTAAGTAAGCTAGATTACCTTACTGTATAGCTTTTTGTGTGTGTGTGAATAACTATAGTTACCGGAATGTTCTAATAGCGTGGCTAAAATATTTCTGGTAACTGAATGAGGTATCTCTGTAAGACACTGCCTAATGCAGTGTTTCTCCTTTGTAAGGTATTCTTTCCATTCTCCAGCAGGGCCCCCACTCTCTGCCTGTTCCTGCTTGAATGAATCTTTCTAGAAAATGTTTGGTCAAAGGTGTATATAACTCCAGATGAGACCTTACTATGGCTTTTTAGAATAGCACTTCCCTATTTCTCTCAAAAATTGCTCTTGAAACTTTCTAGGTTTATATGCATTCATTTTCCTAGCAGTGTCAGATTTAGATGTCACAGTCACTTTGTGATCAATGACTGTGTCCTAGTATTTTCCCTTTTGTGTTGTTTCCAGCTGTCACTCCCATCTTCTGGCAGAAATATTATTAGTCCGTAAGTGCATGACCCTGCATTTCTACTGTTGAATTTCATCTGTTTTCACTGCTGTAATCCTCAAGGTCATCCAGTTTTTGTACAATATTACAATGGTTTTTATTGACAAGATCTCCTAGTTTTCTGTCATTAATAAATTTCATTGCCACATTATATTGAGTTATTGCCCAAACACACACCATGAAGGACATAACCTTAGCAATCCTATGAAGGTTGGCTTGTGTCATGCCCATTATGGGAATTGATTACTTTTGCCCCATATCCATTCTTTCATATGTAAAAATTGACATGATTTTTTTGCATATTTATCAATGGCAATCTTAGCTATTCAGTCTTCTTTTCTGTTTGATTTTAACGCTCTTACTTTTCTGAGTATTCTTACCATTTCTTAATGATATGTTGTGTTTAGACCTTACTACCTTTACTGTCAGGCATGAATACTTTTGTCTTTTACCTTTTTTCTTTCTTTCTTTCTTTTTTTTTTTTTTTTTTTTTGGTGTGTTGACCTGTTGCTTAATTTGTTCCTGACTGGTACAGTTCAGGGCCTGAGGACTGAAAATGCTTGTATTGCATAGTGAAAAACACACCAAGTCCAAGATCTACCAGTGCCTTACTGAAGGCTTAAAAAAAGAAAGTCAGAATCAGCTCCACCGCTTCTGCTTCGGTTAATGGGATCTTTAATTCTTTGTCTCAGTTGAGCTTATGACCTCTGCCAGATCACAACTCTCTGGCCAATTAATGGCTGATTTCTGCATCTTCACCAGTGACATTTCATTTGTGAATCTCACAGCTCTCAGGGAACATTTGGAAAAGGGTCATGCAGACCCTTTTTCTGCTCTGGGAATCCTGACCTCGGTTCATATTGTCCATCAACTGTTACCAAAGTCAAGGAGTTGATCCCCCTCTCACACATAGAAAAAGGATACTGGAGTTTCCACAACACTGGCTGCATGTTCAGTGGCTAACTAAAGCTTGCATCATGAACTTCAGGCCACTTCCCCACAGCCCAAAATGGTATTTGTAAGAGTAGCCCATTAACTGTATGATAACATGATCTGTGGATGCCTTGAACATAATTTTTCACAGCCAATTTGTCCATTTGAAGCCAAAACTCTTACCAACACTCAAACAACGGGCCACTCTGAGAGGGCTTAGTTTGAGGAGTGTTACCAGTGCCACTTGCCACTGTCATTAAGTCTCACCAAGACATAACTCAACTGGTGCTTCAAAGGCTTTTACTCAAGCATGCCATGACGGCTTCCTCCCAGTACCAGAAATTGTCATATGTCTGTCTTGGCCAAATTGTATTAGGTGGCTCTGTTCACATCCTTCCACCATGAAGGTTAATTAACTGGCTACAAAGAGGTCAGTGAAGTGTACATTTCTTCAGACAACGCTATGTGGCGTGCGGGAGCTCCAGTTTCTTTGGCATTGCCCGAAGTCACAGTCACAGCACCACTGGCACCAAGCTACTTCCCACCTTTGCACCAACAGACTTGTGGATGTGTGTGTTGTTATTTGTTTGTTAATTTTCAAATGCCTCTGATTTCCTTGTATGACCTGTTTTCTTCAAGAATCATGACAGACCCTGGACTAAGTTACACAGGTGATTGAAATACTTTCCGGGACTTCTTAGTCATCTTGTAAGTTCATTAGACATCCTTCACAGGGAGGAGGTGGAGGCTCGTCATGGTTTGGTGAACACTCTCCTTTGCCAGTGGTGGCTCGAATTTGTTCTACCTGGGTGAAGAACCCATCAGTAAAATATTGTAGAGATTGTGTGTGTGTGTGCATGTGCACAACACAGTGGAGTTTTAAGACTACAGTATTGTACAAAATAAGAACAGTATAGATCATTCATTACCAAGATAATGCTAAAAATATTATATTTAGGTTTTGTATGTGAAAAACCAGGAAAATGGCTTTTACCTTGCAAAGAACCTTCCAGCTTTCTCTTATGTATCTTTTTTCACACTCAACACCAGCTGCAATGTGCACAGCTCTGCGAGCTGATGGGTAGCCAGCCACACGCCCCGGAGTGCTGCTGCAAAGGCAAACAAATACATAAGAACTCGGTAATGTTTCTAGTTGTTAGTCAAAAAACCAAAACAAAAAGCTATGGAAACCTGTTACGTGTAACTTCTTAGAGGTGACAACTTGGGGTTAGTTGCCAGATACGAATTTAAACTCCAGGACAGTTGTTTTGATTGCTCTGCTTCCCCCAGGTTTTAAGATCTGGCGCTGTGTCATATTGTATCATTCCTTACTGGAGAGTTTAATCAAAAAGCTTGCTACTGGACCTGCAATTTACATGCCAGTTCTCTCAAACCTCTATGAAAGAGGTTATTCTGACCTTTGCTCTCTTCACATTGACTTCATTGACCCCTACTCTCTTTAGCCATCCAGTCTTTTGTCCTGTCATCCCTATCCTAAGTGAAAACTGAAAGAGTATATTAATTCAGGGCATATCTGAATAGTTGTTTGAAGGCAGTTGTACGATTAATCTTCCTTTCTCTGAGCTAAATTTGCAGTTGCTGGCTTCCCTCCAGATACTGTCTTTACATTAAATGCAAGACTGTGCCCCTGTGACGAGCTTCACCTTTGAGGAGGAAATTTCTGACATGAGTTCAGCATTGGAGTTAATTCATACCCTTCTTGCTCTGTTAGCTTATAATTGCATATGAATTTGTAGACATGTCTATGCTCTTGGGGCTATATACTAATTATCTTTACTCCATTGTAATTATGTAGCCAGCCAAAAAGTAATGTCTTGTTAGCAAGTTTCTGTTATCCATAATATATTTGATTTCAAGCTTTGCCTGATCGCCTGCATTCATCTTGTTGCCCAAATTCCTATTTTGGCTGCTGTTATTGGTCACTCACAATTTCCCATCCATTTTAGAATCAGTCATCTCACTAAATATGTCTCAGGACAGTGTTTTTAATCTACCTCATGGCATAGCTTGTACTTCTCTGTGGTGTTAGTGTAAATGTAAACCGTTCTCCCTCCCCTCACAGCTGTGCTGGTGCAACTGTGTGAAGTGCACTTAGGTCACCTGCCCATTCAAGCACAATATTTATATTGTGTGGTTTGTATTCTTCCGCTTTGTTCTGTAGTTTGAGTCACTCTCATTGTCTTGGTTCACACTGTTGCCTTTTCTCCCTATTCCTTTTTTTTTTTTTTTTTTTTTTGGTAAGAGGACATAAAAACCCCAAAACCAACCAACACCCAAACACCACTCATCCACTCACCCCTGTAAACTTACACAGACTCTTGTTTTTGGCTGTGTGTTATCAGGGTTAGGCATTAGCAATATGACTTTACAAACTTTTTGTTTAGGTCCATCTATTCCACAGTATCACAATAAACTTGATCTTACTTTATGGGAATCTGCAGCTGACAGGGAATCTTACTTTATGGTAATCTAGCTGGACAGGCTAGAGAGTTGGGTGGAGAGGAACATAATGAAGTTCAACAAAGGCAAGTGCAGGGTCCTGCACCTTGGGAGGAATAACCCCAGGCACCAGTACACATCAGGAGGTGACCTGCTGGGAAGCAGCTCTGCGCAGAAGGACCTGGGAGTCCTGGTGGACAACAAGCTCTGCACTGAGCCAGCAATGTACCCTCATGGCCCAGAAGACCAATGAGATCCTGGGGTGCATTAAGAAGAGCATGGCCAGCAGGTCGAGGGAGACCTATCCTCCCCCTCTACTCTGCCCTGGTGAGGCCACATCTGGAGTGCTGTGTCCGGTTCTGGGCTCCCCAGTTCAAGAAAGGCAGGGAACTACTGGAGAGAATCCAGCGGAGGGCTACGAGGAGGATTAGGGGACTGGAGCATCTCTCTCATGAGGAAAGGCTGAGAGAGCTGGGTCTGTTTAACCTGGAGAAGAGAAGACTGAGAGGGGATCTCATCAACGCTTATAAATGTCTAAAGGGTGAATGTCAAGAGAATGGGCCAGACTCTTTTCAGCGCAGCCCAGTGACAGGACAGGGGGCAATGGGCACAAAGTGGAACGCAGGAAGTTCCATCTGAACAGAGGAAAAACTTCTTCACTGTGAGGGTGACCGAGCACTGGAAGAGGCTGCTCAGAGAGGTTGTGGAGTCTCCTTCTCTGGAGATATTCAAAACCTGCCTGGACGTGATCCTGTGCAACCTGCTCTAGGTGATCTTGCTTTAGCAGGGGGGTTGGACTACAGGTCCCTTCCGACCCCTGCCATTCTGTAATTCTGTGATTTTTTTCTATTGGCTCATAGAATTTAAGGGTGTTAGAAACAAGTGCAGTCTAAAGTGACTGAACACTGATAAGTTTCCCTTCCAGCTGATGATCTAATCACTGGTGCTGCTTGAACATTCCTGGAATGTAAGGTGGCTAGTATGTCTTGCACAGTAAACTAATGTTAAACAAGTTATTATGTAAAACTGCATCAAGTTTAGCTACTTTTGGATAGACACTGTAAGTACAATTTAAAATCAACAGCAATGATTGACTTGAAAAAACTATAGCATGGTTTTAACTTGCTTTCAAAAGGTCTCCTTTTTTCTTTTTTTTTTTTTTTTTTTTTTGTATGAGTTGAATTATTTGTGGGTTTCTGCCTTGTTGGTGCATTTTTAAGTAACACCATTTTAAACCCAAATGCCTGAAATTCTTTTGTAATTTTGACAGGTAAATATTGGAAAAATGGATTCACCCATTGAGAAATGGAATCTAATAATTGGCAATTTGGCCTTAAAACAGGTAAATTTAATGGACTTATTTGATTAAGACTTGTAAGTGAGTGAAGTTATTGAGAAAATCTTTCACAAGTGTTGATAAGTACGGAGATGGACAGCGTTAATGGGAAACTAGCTCTACTACACTAACTCATACTTAACATACAACATTTCCATGGCTGCTTTTTTTGAAAACTGTTGTTCTTCTCTAAAAGAGTACAAGCTTATATTTATCAGAAGAAGAGGAAGAAGAGTATTCTTTGTGACTGTACCAAGGGTATTTCCTTTTTAATTTTTCTGAGAGAGGATCTGAGGATGATTAGAGAAAAATTTCAGATTTGGCAAAACCTTTTAGTTTTGACCTCACAAATGTTTTCAGTACTGTATTTGCATTGGATTCAATGTTTAAAGGAAGTATGTGATAGAGCTTTTGGATAATAAACAATATTTTAAGTAGCTGGGTCATTTGAGAAAAGGAGTGTTTGTTCTCCAAAATGACTATTTCTTAAGATTAAGAACTATTTCATGTTCATATGTTATAATACAACATGCTCAAAAAAGAGGTGAAATGATTATGCTGTGACTTCACTGTTTTGAGTGACACAGCTTTGGCTCCTGGTAAATTCTCAGCTCTTTTCCCTGATTTTACTTTTGTTACTCTTGCGTCTCTGAAACGTTGGTAAAGCCTTTTCTGCTGGCATAAGGTTTTTCTTCTTGATCATCCAAGGTTATAATCATCTCTACAAAATGGATGAGGATGCTCCCTTTACACCCTGCAAATAAATGTAGTTAGGAGGAAAGAATAACAGAAAATGGTTCTGTAGTCCTCTTAAGTCTATCAATTTTAAGAATTGTTTACTTTATTTTTCTTTTCCAGGTTCAGGCAACAGTAGTTGGTTTTCTGGCAGCAGTGGCAGCAGTTATATTGGGCTGGATTCCAGAGGGCAAATACAGCTTTGATCATTCAATCCTTCTGTGTTCTAGCAGCGTAGCAACTGCCTTCATAGCTTCTCTTTTACAAGGTAAAAGGAGTATATATGTTACTTTTTTAGTTATTTACTTTTCTGTGGATGCTGAATGTATATTATGTTGCTATTCCTTGAAAATTTAAATGCAATAAGGTGTAATACATCTGAAACACAGCTGAGGATAGGATGCCCTTTTGCAATTTCCATATAGACCTGCATATTACATTCCTCTCCTGTTATATTCTTTGAAAAGGTTTGATTTGCATGACCTCCTGAGCCTGTCTAAAACAAAAAGTATGGTTTTTAAATTTTTACCTAATGTGATGGAGAACTTTTCTCCCCTGCTTTCTATATTCATTCATGCACAAAATATATTCTTAGTACTAAACAGGTAGAACTTATTTGTAATTAAGCTCAAATGAGCCTGGATGTTAGTTCAGCTGAATCCAAACTTCCTGGTTGCCCATGCTGCTTATAGGTTAGTTTGTGCTCTGCTTTGTATCTGAAGTGAACGAATTGGGTTGTTATGTGCAGAGTTTGGTGCAAGTTCAAGTTCCCCTCTACAAACAGTGCCAACGTCTGTCCAGAGCCATATAGCATGATGAATTTAATCTTCTCTCCCCAGTTGTCAGGAAATATTTAACCATAAAAGACACTATTTAATGGACATGAGGGCAGAAAAAAGTGCCTCAACTTGTGACATATTCTTAATGAAAATACATAGTCAGTAGTCTTAATAAGAGTAAGTCAAGTAAAATGTTTAACTTCCATTTTTTACTAATTTGATAGACTTACTTATGTGAAAACTACAAAATTGTTAAAGTTTTGCATGGAATTAAGAGCACACACTTTTTTTTAGTGACAACAAAGCCCTTGAGTTTGATCATGTGTAGAATTAAGAGCAAGAGAAGGGGGAACATGAGTGCATTTTTTCCCACTTCTCATGTGTAATTTGGACACGAAGAGAAACTTTTGTTGTTATCTGGTCATGGGCCAGCATAGGAAATTACTTTCTGAACTTCGTCCTCCTACACATGAAACAGGTACTTTTGAAATATTGTGATCCTACAGGATCATTTCAGTTCTTTCTTTTGAGAATTTTATTGAGTGCAACTTTTTAGGCAGTTTCTCTGAAAATAAACTCCTAATTTAGCCTACAATACATAATATTGCTAAAATACATGAAAATTGTAATACTATTTTAAAAAAATCTTTAAAATCACATAAAAATTATATACACAGTTCAAGCTCTTATGTGTATTACATGATGAAAGGGAAATTACTCAAGTTATGCCAAAGAAGACTGTTAATAACAATGTGAATTTTATTTTTCGTACCCACTTGCATTCTGCAGGGAAATGCCTCTTAATAATTTAGTGTTGCTCTTTATAGGAAAAAAAGTAAAAACCAACATCCTCAATTTAAAACATTTTAACTGTATAGCAAGTAACATTTTTAGACATTGTCTAGTTTTTAATTTGTGATGTACCTTCTTGACTTTTGGTGCTAAGTCCATGACTGGAAATCTTGCACAGTATCAGATGTCAAAATATTTAATCATATGGTATTTTTCAGCCTAGTGTAATTTACATTTCAGTCAGCTAAAGTTAACAGGATGTACAAACAGCACACAGCATTTTTTTTTCTTCAGGAAATGGCTGATTTACAATTCAATAGTACTAATTCCATTCATAAGCAAAATAGTTCATTGTACAGATGGTTCTTGATTTTTTGTATGTGTGTGCTTACTGTTTTTTTAATATAAACCCTCATTTTTAAAAATGGCTACAACTTAAAAATACAGACATCAGTCAGGTGGGAAGAACAATCATCCTGGGGCAAAAGCACTGACTTCTTATTTATCAACTTTGAAAGTACCATTATCTTGGAATTTTCTGTGGAGTTACAACAGTAGATATGGTTACTGTGCTGTCGTCTTTGTTGATTCTAGGAATTATAATGGTTGGAGTTATTGTTGGATCAAAGAAGACTGGTATTAATCCTGACAATGTTGCCACTCCTATAGCAGCGAGTTTTGGAGATCTTATCACTCTTGCTATACTAGCATGGATAAGTCAGGGTCTTTATACTTGCCTTGGTAAGTATGTTTCTAAATGTGCATGTCTCCCTAGGAACCTCTTTTGGGTTAGGAGGGTGTGGAGAGGGCAGGGAGGGAGAGGTTTAGAAAACTTTTTCATTTGACTGACTTTTTTGTCAATATTTATACCATTGAATAATAAATCTTGGGTTGCAACATTATACCATGATCTTTTTAAAGATGATTGAAGTTGCTAAACACAATCTTGACACAGTCTACTAATATCTGAAAGACTCTCACAGAATCACAATCAATCTACATGTGAATTAGAAACTATAGTTGTTGAATTTAGTCTGCTTTCTTCAGGGGAGGGAAGCTATCTTCATCCAAGTTTTCTTGAATGCCCACCCTGCAATCAAATATTTGTTTCCCAGAACCCTTCGGAAGTGTTCTCCCATTTCACTAAGGGGAAGGAGTTGAACTGGCTATCTTGACCAGCTGCTGGGAGAGGAGTTCTGCTTTGAGATTTTTTGTTGTTGTTAGGGTGCGGTTTTAGACAACATTCAAATATATCTTGAGCTGCAGCTATGTAGAAATCAAAATAACAATAATTTAAGTACTTTGAGTAGAAATAGCAAGTCTACCACAAGTATGTATTCAAAGAAGTGAAGCCTAATTTTAGATTTGTGCTTTGTGATTGCTGTGACTTTTAAATGATTTACGCAAAGACTGTTGTGAATTTCCTTCTGATTCCTTCCAAGTGCTTTCCAGCTCCTGCTGCAATGCCTCCTTGCTTCCTCATTTTCCTTATTCCAGCTTCCAGTACAAGTTTCCTCAGCTTTTTCCTACCTCTTGTTTTCCTCACGGTGTGACACTTTTGTGTCTTCCCTCTGTTCCCTGTGCCCGTGCTTGGTTTTACCAGCATTTCCTTCTGCTTTTAAGTAAACGAAATAACCACTTCCAGCTTTTCCAAATAATGGCCCTACTCTCTTCTGTTTTCTTTGTTTTGTTTTGTCTTCTTATAAATTTGGTGACTATATTTCAAACACAAATCTGCTAATTTAGCTATAACTCTCTTTAGAACAGCAGTTCTGCCATGAAAGATGAAAAATGTATAACCACTCTGAATAGCTTAGCAGCAAAGGAGAGGGCTTCACTGACTACTGACAGCAATGATCTAATCCTACTTCATGCATGAATTCTGTCTGGCTTCTTGATGACAGTTTTTACTGTTTGACTATTTTCCCACTAATAGCTATGAACAGGTGAATTACACGTAAACAGCTCCAAACTAATTTTCTTATGAAAGACTGGG